GGTGCCCGACGCGGGTGCGGGTGCAGGATTGCGCGCCCGGCGGGGGGCTGGAGGAGGTGCTGCGTATCTGTGGGCACGCTGACTAAATGTACATTTAAATGAAAGACCCATATAGTAACTCAACTCATTTTTATAACGCTTGGCAAGTATTAATCATTTTTAAGACTCACAAATCAACGATTGGTACTTCAAAAGTCTAATTGAGAAACAGACTTTGACAGTATAAAACAGAAGGCTGTTGCCGCCGGGGTGTTGCACCCATGTGTCGGCTGGGCCGGGGCCAAGGTCTGCCCCCACTGACCCTGGTGCGCGTCCGGTTTTGGCCCCCGCAGAGCCCGGTGCGTGTCGGGTTCCACCTTGGAATCCCGGGGGCACTGACATGGGGCTCGGAAAGGCGCACGGGGCCTGAGAAGGCCCAGCTTGAGGGGGCGAGGGGGCGGGGACGGGCTCCGGGGAGGCTTTTTGGCCGCAAAGCCCTCTCCCACTGAGGGACGCGGGCCCTGACACCCGTGGTCGGAGGGCGTGTCGCCCTCCTCCTCCCTTCCCAGGGTCACCCTTTCCTTCCTTCCAGAGACGCTCCCGCCCACTCTTCTCGCGTCTGACTGAAGCAACCCGGAGGTCGGCTCCCTGGGGGGCTCAGACGGGGAACAGCAGACGAGACAGGCGCCAGGCCACACGCCAGGCCACACGCCACCCACGGCCCGGTCTCTAGACCACAGACTGGCTTCGGATGGGACGGTGAGACGGCAGCTGGCTGCACACAGCACGTCAGGACCGTTCTCGTCATCGGACCCCTCGTGACCTCTTGAGGGCACATTCTTGCAGAGTGTGGAGGGTCACGGGGGGCTGTGAGCCCCCTTGTAGGGAGGTCAAGGTGAGAGCTGCTCACGTGGGCCACAAAATCCCCGTGTCCTTGATACGGGCAAGTCCCTCGTCTTGGATCCCCATTTTCAAATTCTGAACCTCCCAGTTCGCACCCGCTCTGAGCTCACTCGGGAACTGTTCTAGACACTCCGTGGGGAACGGTGCACATTCACGAAGGCCTGACCTTGAACGCGGAGGTGAAATTCCGTCAGCGACCAGGATTCCCACCCAGCTCCAAGGCCGGGAGACGACTCGCTGCCTCACCCTCCGCTGGGTGGCAGGTGCGTGGGGACGCCATGTGCCCCCGTCCAACCAAACAAAACATCCACGGAGGACGCCCACCCGCCCAGCTACTCTGCGGATCCCCGCTCCGTTTCTGCTGTCACTGATTTTTTTCCTTTCAAATGACCAGTTTGAGTCAAAGAAATGCTTTCCTGGTGAAAGTTTTTAAAATCTGTTTCCGATCTGCTGAAAACTGGAAAAGCCGCCACCTTCATAAGGGTTGGACAAACACGTAGGTTGCACGTGGTACGCAATAATGCCTTAGTATTAAATTTTTATCGATAATTCTGTACCCGAGGCTTTAGCCCACCATCGTCTCCCCAGAACTTCTCATCCGAACCACAGCCTCAAGCACGTGAAGAACCAGCCACAGCTCCAGGGCGGGCTGCCGGGCTCAGGGCCGCACGCGGGCCTCCCAGGCCGACCCAGCCCGCACGGCACACGTACCTGCAGACGGCGTGAGCCAGCCTGCCCCCGCCAACCGCGACAAGGCGCGCAGACCACAAGGGACTTTACCTGGGTAGAGCTGATAAGAGCCACTGTGATGCCACTTAACCAAATACTTCCAACCATTCACCGCAAACCACCCCTCCGAATC